TTTTGGTTGTCCTAAGATGGAGAAGAAGAGATTACCTCTTCGACGTGCTGAGCGTCTCCGAGCATGCAAATCTTCATCTTTGGCCTTGGAATGTGAGGCAACTTCACAGCACCGCTAAACCTCTTGTCCTTTTGAGGGTCGTAGTTCTTAAGACCAATCTGGAGTTCGATGGTCTCAGTGAACTTGCGAGGCTTTGTCTCCTTACAGTGAGTGACAATGGCGGCTATGGCCTCTCTCACGGCTTCACTCTGGAGCTTACTGCACCACAACAACAACAAAAAACGCAATTTCAATGCTATATGTACCCCAAAAATGACATAGATTTACTAAGAAATCAAAAAGCAAAACACTTTGTCTCCTTGATGATTCACAAAAACAAGACCAATGAAACGAACCAAGGCCTATAGTTTTGTATAAAGAGTCATTTTCACCTACGTTTATACAAATCCATTTTTCAAGTCATCAATCGTATAACAACAAGTGTCGAAATCAACACCAATCAATTGATTCCAAAAGTTACGAAATTCCTCCTACATAGAGAATCACATCGAACGAAGCCTGAAGAAAGAAAACTAAAAGCCGATTTGAGGATACAAACCTCATTTTGTCACTTCTTCAAATACCCTTTTGCCTCCTGAAACGAAAGATTAAGAGAAAATAAGATTCCCAATCGACGACGAAAGCTGAAGAAAAGAAGTGAGGTAAGAGTCGAAGAAGCAATACCTGTGGAAGAACGGAAACAGAGGAGTGAGAACGGCGAGAGAAAGCTAGGGTTAAATACGAGGAACAGAATACGAAGAAACCCTAGCCTCAGGCCCGTGTCGAGAGATTGATACTTTGGGCCTAAGGCCCATTTTTAATTTTCTTTTTTTTAGTCACAAGGCCCATTTTTAATTTAACAAATTAAATTAAGATACAATTAGTTGGTTTGAAAAATGTTAAACCATGTGAAGTAGCTTTTGCTGTCATTGTTGTGTCATCTGCTGTTTCAATAAAATCAAATGTTAGTGCAAGAAACATGATATATATTATATATATTTTATAAATCAAAGTTCAATACTCAGCCTTCAAGGCAGACAATCACTATTCTCTACAAATCTTTATATACAAAGAGTTAGGCACAAAAACATAAGAGAATCGATAAACAGAACATTAATCACTTGTGGGTGTTGTTGTATGCGTCAGACCAATTTCTCCTGTCAGATATTTTCTTCCTTATCCAAACATGAAAGAGAGATCATCCATAGGAACCTCATCAAGCCCTGCTGTATCAATATCCTGAAGACCCTCGAACCAGTTTCCGATATCTGCTTGCTCATCTATTTCCTCAAGGTCATGGAACGCCAATTTAGAGAAATCGATAGGAGCTTCCTCGTCAACTGCGCCATCTCCAGAAGAACCTCCTCTGTTCGAGGTGGCTCTGCTTGCTGGACCTGTTGGGTGA